CCGTTTGGCCTTTCAGGGGCCCCGGCAACATTTCAGCGATGCATGGACATTGTGTTAAGACCTGTTCTTGGAAAGTCCACATTTATCTATTTAGACGATATCATTATTACTAGTGATAATCTCGACCAACATGTACAGGATTTAAGACAGGTGTTTTCTTTATTAAATGAGGCCGGTCTAAAAGTTAATGTCGAAAAGTGCAAATTTGCAGCCCCTGAATTAAAATATTTAGGTTACAAAATATCTCAAAAGGGATCGAGACAGATGAATCAAAAATAATCGCTGTACAAAAGTATCCGACTCCAAACACGGCAAAGAAGCTCTCTTCTTTTCTAGGACTTTGTTCATATTATAGGTCCTTTATAAAAGATTTTGCGGCTATCGCTGAGCCATTGTTAAAATTAAAAAGGAAAAAGGCAAGATTCTCGTGGACGGCCGAAGCCAATAGTGCTTTCGAAAAATTAAAACAAGCATTAACGCAAGCCCCTGTGTTGAAATTTCCTGAAAAGGATGATGAAAATTTAGAAATTTCAGCGGATGCTTCGGATTATGCGGTAGGAGCGGTACTACTTTCGCAAAATCAGCAGCCCGTGGCATTTTTTAGCCGAACTTTAAATCAAACACAAAGAAACTATTCCGCGACCGAGAGAGAGGCACTTGCAGTTCTGTTAGCAGTGCAAAAGTTCCGAGTCTATTTTGGAAAGGCGCCGATAACAGTATATTCTGATCATGCGGCGGTAACTAGATTGTACTCAGGGAAAAAATTTATCCCCAAGGTTAATAAGATGGGCACTCAAGCTGCAAGAATATAATCTGGTAATCAAGCATACCCCCGGAAAGGAAAATATCGTAGCAGATGCCCTATCACGAATTAAAATTAGACGAACAGGGTAATACCGTAAAAGTTGCAATGCTGACAGCGTGTACAATAAATTCCCGAGAAACTGTAATAACCGAACTGGGTAAGGATCCTGAGTTTGGAAGTATTTATGAGTATTTGAAGGATCCTGAAAATTTTAGCCACCAAGATATTGTGGCGATAAGAAATAGGGCGGCCCATTACGAACTAATAGATGGTCTATTATTTTATACAAAAACTACGAATTCCAACAACGAATTTCGACCTGTTATCCCAGCTAGTCTTAGATTAAATATCCTGCAGGAGCTCCATGACAGCCCTTTAGCTTCTCATGCTGGTATTCGAAAAACTACTCCAACGCGTACGCGAGGCAGTCTACTTTCCTGAACTGCAAAAGTTAACAAGGGCGTATGTCCAGTCCTGCCCAACATGTCAAGCCGTTAATTATATTAATTTCCGCCCGGCCGGGTTTCTAAATAGTATTAAATCCGAATTTCCAAATGAAATAATTGGCATCGATTTATTGGGCCCTTTCCCAAAAAGTCAGTTAAATAAAAGTCGCTATCTCCTTGTTATGGTTGATCATTTTAGTAAATGGACCGAAATTGTTCCCTTAAAACGAGCCTCCGCGAAATTAGTTACTGATTCTATTTTAAATAAATATATTTTAAAATACGGGGCGCCCCTAAAAGTTATATCGGATAATGGTCCTCAATTTGTAAGTAATATATTTGAAGACATGTGCCAAAAACTGGGCATACGTCATTTAAAAATGGTCCCGTATCGGCCGCAATCAAATATAGCGGAACGGGTCAACAGAAATATAGTGAAAATTATCCGTAGTTATGTTAAAAATTTTCATAAAAGCTGGGATAACTATGTCAATGAATTTGCTTTCGCCCTTAGGACCGCAAAACATGATACAACGGGCAAAACTCCTGCTGAGTTATTTCTAGGCAGAAAGATTATAACACCGTTAGATAAATTATTTTATGTGCAACAAAGAGCCCCAGAATTTAAAATGGGTGATATAGAAAAACTAATTAAAAGAAGCAAAAAAGAATACTGAAGTAGCACAAAGAAAACAAAAATTGTATTATGACTTGAAACGACGGGGAGTAACTTATAAAGTAGGGGATGAAGTGTTAAAAATTAAGCATTCACTTTCTTCAGCACCAGAAGATAAAACTGCCAAATTTTTTCCACGATTTGAAGGACCATATGTTATAGAAAAAATAACTCACGCTGTTGTAGTGTTAAAAGGCCAAGAAATGGTGAAACCTGTTCCGCAAACATTGATCAAATAAAACCATTCTATGATCGTAATAAAATGCAAATCTTTTCAGATCTTTTGCAGGATCCGGCACGGCAGACACCGCAGGTACAAGTTCCAGAGGTGGGAAAACGACAAGTACAAGGGCAAGCCAATGAGGACAGGAAGCAAGTGAAAAGAAAATTGCCCCGCGGAAAAATTGAAGGTACAAAGAAAAAGAAGCCGTTCCACCGTCCAAAAAAGAGAGTTCACGAACACCCCCAGAATGAAGAAGGGAGAAGGACGACGTATGTGGAAAAGACCAGGAGAAAAGGACGGCAACTATAACCCGGCTGTAAAACGGAAGATCTGACTCATCCGACAGGAACTCTCCGCAGCAAAAGTCGCCGAACTGCGGAAGGGCCATCAGCGGCGGAGGAAAAAGTACAAGAAAAATTTGAACGGCCAACAACGAGGTCCAAGCAGGATCACGACGAAGAAGTTTCCCGGTTCCGCCAAGACCAGCTGCCATCAAACGGCCAAGACCACAAGCAGAGGACAGAAGGAAGTATGTTCAAGGGTGGCCGTACTGGTGGTGAAAAACGGAAGCTTCCAGAGGAAAGCACTGAAGGGCGAGCCCGTACAAGAAGGAGGATAAACCAAGCTACGGTCTGCAGCTACCTTTAAAGACTGGGCCCAGAAAAGGATGTCCGAATATTACAAAGATAAGTAAAATTTTATGTTACTTTACAAACTTAAGTTAATCTTTCATTCTTACTGCAAGTGGCAGATTTCAAGAAGTTTTACCTCATGCGAGGTCTACCTTTATCGCCAAAAAGGGCGAGAAATGAGTTGTTGACCGATTTTCTGGTATTATGTTTTTCAATTACTCGCGCGTAAAACTAAAGTTGATGTATAATAGCGTTGTATAAAGACTTAAATATTGTAAAAAGTTATTGTATAAATTTTATTTAAAACATTCTGGCAAGAAAGAAGTTTTAGTCTGAAAGACTTTTTGAAATGTATTATTTCAATGTAGAAAGAATTGGCACTTGCTTTGAAAAGAATAGAAGTTAACAATGTACTACTAATGTATGTTTTCAAATGTGTAAAATTAACGGCATGTTGATATGTTCTTATATACATGTGAACTGTTATTTTAAATGTTAAGAAATACCGTGATATGGTAAAAGTGAAAGTAATGTTAAAAATTTTTTATTCGTGTGACTGTAAAAAGACCAAATCATGGTGAATATGTGTTAAAGGTTGAATGAATGTAGTTAGGCTCTCTGACGCTACACTTCAGAGTTAGCCACTTTCAGAATAGTACCTCAGGGTTTAGAGTTGAAATTAGGGTGTGTTAAGAGGTCTCGTATGTTGAATTTTAACACGTTAGTGTTTTGATTGTAGGAGGAAGTGTTGAACACATAGACAGAAACACATTCGTGTTTGGTGTTTTTACAACACATGTCAGAGAGCACGGGGAGAGATAATTAAAATAGTCATGAATGAAATAAGAATGTTAAGAAAAGTATATTCTATATGTTATTTGCCAATGTCATTGTGTAACATTTCATTAAACTAGTTTTCCTTCCAGATCTCTGGAAGGAACCAGAATTGAATAAAAGCTCCTGTTTAGATGCAGTACAGATGAAAATGAAAAAAAAAGATTGTTGTATATTCCGGGAGCTGCTATTGTAACAAATTTCTTTCTTTTAAAATTTTCTAGTTTCTAGCTAAGTTATGTTTGTAAAAGATTGGCCTCGCGTTAGATTCTAGAGCTAAAAGTTTTCAACAAGGTCGTTTTAGACCTCAGTTTCAAACTAATTAACTCTGGCGGGAAGTATGTAAGGATCTTAAGTTTTACTAACGTTTATTTTATTTTAAATCTTTACTATCACTTCTTATTTTCTACTTCCGGCCAGAATTATAAGCGTGAAGGAGTTTTATGCAAAGTTGTCTGGCGAACGCCAAGTATTTAAGTTGTGGCCTTTTTGCCAAGCGAGAGAGAGGAAGCCGTGAGTTCGAAGCAGGCCGCTTACCTTAGAAGTTACGCAGTTGCTACTTTGCCTTCCAGGCCAGAGGTTTTAATCCTCTTGATAAATTAAACGTATTGTAGTGTTCACAGTCTCTGTGCTACATACGCTTCCTGTTATTATAAGGCCAATCTTATTCTAAAGTTAAATTAGAGTTTAGTTTTATTTTGATATCTTTTAAGTTAGACCCCGAGTGGAGGGTCATTGTATTCCGAAGTACGGAAGTCATTGTATATAAAGAAAAAAAAATAAAGGGTTTTGTATACCCTTCGTCTGTATCCTGTCTACTTACTACAATTAGTGAACATAGCTTTAGTAAGCTCTCTGTTCTAGTCAGGTCATTGTATGTTTCCGAAGAAGGTTAGAAGAAACATTGAACTGATAACATGAAGAAAGCTGATATTTACATTTTGGCATCTAATTACTGTACATTTTCAGATGAGTTATGAAAAATTAGAGTACACTATTATCCTTAACATTAAGAATTTTAATATGCTTCAGCTCACTTTAAATGCAATAAATATATGATTCTGTTTCTTAAATTATACTTAAAAACAGCAGTACACAAGCCACAACAACAAATAAATGAAAAAGGCTTATCCATATTAACAAAATTATCATAGATTTAGAAATGACTTTTTGCACTCATGGTTTTATTAACGACTGTATCAAAAAATTTACAATTTAATATTGTGATAATTCAATTCATTTAATGTCTCCTAACAATAATAAGCTTGAGTTTCCCTTATTTTAAATTTTGCAAATGAACTTATTACAAAGAAAAAATATACGATGATAGCAAAATTCTGTAGTTTTATTACTTCAACACCACTGATATCCCTTTAATAAAAAATGTTAGAGTTCCTATAGCAATTTTTTTATAAAATCCTTCTTCCTATTAAAAGAACTCAAAAATAGAAATCTACATATACAAATACTTACTTTTTCAGAGAATTTTGATGAATTTTTAAGTACCATTTCAAGCCATTCAAACTGATAAGCCGGATCAATTAAACCAGATGTGATATTATTTGAGGTATACCATAAAATAGTATTCAGACTTATTATCCTCAGGCTAGGTCTCACCAATCTGCTGTAAAACCCACCTAGAAAAGAAAGTTAATCTTATCTATGCATATGACTGATCTTATTTTATAAAACTGCTTGTCTCATTTCCCATGTTTAACTGCTTAGTAACAGAAATTTAAAATAAATTCCATAATCATTCAGGCTGATACATTTAAAATATGACAGCATCTTTACAAATTTCATGTTTTTTCGTCAAGAAAAAAATTTTCTTGCTAAGAAACTGAACTGGTTAGAAATGATTTTTCTTTTAAGCATCATACAAAATTGCAGTATAGCCTTCTTTAAATAAGATCAAGCTGAAAGCCAGATAAATCCAGTAGATTATATTTTCATCCTGATACTCTCAATTAAAATTTCATTTACAGATCAGATTCATTACAAACAACTCACACATTCTCCTACATTTGAATGCATTTTCTTTCCTTCCTTCTTTCTGTCTTATTTTTCAAGTAGTTCTTTCTAAATATAACATAAAAATAATTTTAAGATATTTTTGGTACAGCTCACTCAAATGTTATTAACAACCACAATGTTCTCAATTAAGCCATACCGTCAATAAATATTGCCAATTGGATACTAAATAACAAAAAAGATATTCTACTTTTTTTTTCTTTTCTTTTTCCCCCACATTGTTTTCTTGTAACCTGCACACTTACTGTCTTGCATGGGCTGGTTTAAAAATTTTCGCCCCCTCTCCTAAAATGAAATATGAGGATCCCTTTAAAATTATATTTTCTATGCTATGGTCAGACTATTAGATAATTTATTCACATTAATCATTTTATTTCGAAAGTTTATGAGTACTTATATAACATTATTTTTCTTTTGTATAGTTTTCAAAATACTACTGTTTTTAATAGCCAAATAGAATACAACTGCATTAAAAAGCTGTAATGCAACACTTGTATAATATTTAGCAAAATGCATGTTAATTTCAGTGATATGCATTTCAGGGAATGAAGCATATGAAATTTACATATCAGATTCTTTATGTAATTCAGCTTCTATTTTATTCACACTCATAATGATCTCAAAGATTTTCAATGGGTTTTCAAATGTGCCATATCCATTATCCTCTATTAACTATAATCAGCATTTACTAATGCCACCCTACTTTTGGGTGCTAAAGAATTTATGTTGTTCTTCTCATATCAAAAGCTACATCAGAAAAAGGTAACAGATATACACATCTACTGGATGATGCCTCAGTAACTCCTAAAAATGAAAAGACAGCGTGACATACTAAACATAATTAAATGAAAACCCGTATTGTACAAACAGATATTGAAGAACATCATACATGATCTAAAGCAATAGTTCTTAACCAGCGGGAATTGACCCCTAGGGCAGATTTCCTAGTCTCGGGAGGTACATGGTCAGCCTGACAACATTTTGCAACATGTATACCTATGTCCAAATGTATTGCGAAGAAATTTGGTTCTTTCATGACCTGCACTAACTGGTTTTTTATGTCTTTGGATATATTATTAATGAAATGTTTCACAGCATTGTCAGAAAACAGTATTTGTGAAAGCTTTTGTTTACCTTCTAGTCTAAGAACAATATCAGTTACTTTCAACAAAGAAGGTTTGACGAGTGTTTCTCCAATATCACTTTTCTTGGCCTTTGCAATAAGTAGGGATAACTCATACGAAGCTTCTAGCACTTTTTCAGATGACTGAGCAAAAGATCCAGTATTATCGAATTTCAGATTTGAACATTTTGCAGTAAGAAACTCCTTTAGCTTGTCTTTTAATGTGTTATGTTTTATTGACAAATGTCACTCCAGATGAGAAGGTCTTGCAGCATCATTGTTCAATAAATAACACATTTCAGCTGGTCAATGCCATTTTTTATAGTAACAAAACTGTATTTAATATAATCATCACTGTATTTACATTTTTCGACAAACTCACGATGAGGGGAAAAAATAACAAGTCGACAGTTCATTTTCGCGTTATAAATACCTGTAACTTGTGCATCCAGAATTTACACAGAACGGTATCACAGAACTTTGAACTCTTGACAAACGTAACCTTTGACACCAGCTTGACTACTATTTTGCACAAGCACAGAAAGGTATTAAGAGTGGATCTGCTTCGACAGCTATTCGCCAGTTCGCATGCATAAAAAACATACTAAGGCTGGATGGACAGGCCTGTAAAGTTAACTCGGAGGTGCATGTTTCCCTCTGTGGTCTGACACAACCTCTCCTGCTTTGGCAAAGCTTTTGTTCTTAAAATACACGTTCTTTAGCCCAACTAAGACACAAGTGCAGTGTGACGCAGTTAGTGCTGTGGGTACGAGCAGTGAAGTACTGCTCACCTGGCCTGTGCCCCTTTTAATGACATTGTGTGACTCTGAAAATCAGTGGTGTAGAAGAACTGAAAGAAGCTTCAGATATATTGATAAGATTAGTACAAAAGAATAAATTTTTTGAAGAAATTTATTTAAAAAGGAACAAAGATATTAAGAATAGTGAATCAAGTAATTTGAATTCCTTTTTGATGAGAACTTTTGTGTAGGTGGATCAAATGCAGACTCTGATCAAAATTAAAAACATCCCAAGCTTTTGCCTTCTTGGCACAAACTTACTAAAATTATTAAATCCCTCCTTAACCCCTTAACTGCCGCGGGCGTATATATACGCCTTGCTCAGCCGATGCGTTAACTGTCCCAGGCATATATATACGTTCTTCCAAACTGCTATCATTTGCTTTGCGCTGCTACACCTAAAATTATTCGCAAAGTTAACGCATCGGCTGAGCAAGGCGTATATATGTGCCCGCGGCAGTTAAGGGGTTAAGAGATATTTACACATAGGCTATCAAATGTTGTTATATTTCAATCAGGCAAAAATTTTGGCAATAGGAGGAAGAAATTTAGCTTGAAAATCTGTAAATGAATGTATAATACGCTTTAAAAATAAACTCACATTTTTTAGCAACTTTCGACCAACTTGCTAGCAGAGAGAGTTAACCCTAATCCTCCAATTTCTAACTCAGGAATGAACTTCTGTGGCCCAATTTTGATTAAATACAATCGTGAACACAACAGCACATTTTAAAAAAATTATGTTTCAGTATTTGTGTGCATTACTACTAAGGCGATTCATTTAGAGTTATTAGCAGACTTATTTACTATTTACAGCCACATTAATTCCAGCTTTAAAACTTTTCTTTGCAAGATGAGGAAATTTTCTTGTTTATGTTCTGATAATGCTCGTATCTTCATTGGCACAAATTCAGAAATAAAGAGGTTGCATAATCTAATGAGTTATCCCAGCAAATTATCTACATTCAGAAAAAAATTAGTTCGAAGTTTATTCCCCTGAGATATCCAAATTTCAGTAGACTATGGGAATCTGGGGCGAAATCTTTTAAATGCCATTTAAAACATGCAGTAGGCTGAGCCAGACTTACATCTGAAGGACTGTAAACACAGATATAGGGGGCATACTAAATAGTACACTCCTTGTACCAATTTCAATAGATCTTACTGATTATTCAGTTCTGACTTGCTTCTAATGAATGATTGAATTTCCATTTTGCATAGATTGTAAATAGTACATCTTCATCTTTATATGTTTGTTTTTACATATATTTGACTTTTATTCACTTAATCTCCTTACTGTTTAACACATAGACTGCTATGCTAGTTTGTACAAAAATCTCCGTCAGGCTATTAGCACTGCTAAACTATGTGCCAACTGTTTCTGGAAGAGTTTAGAACATTCGGGACATTCATTCAGTTGAAAATCTTTCCTAAGCATCTAAGCAAGCATGTAAGATTTAAAAATTATTTCTTTGTTTCCAAATATATTTTCTGTAGTGACAAATGGTTAATTTTTTTTTTTTTAAATTTTTGAAACTTTACTGCTGCCCTAGTTTTTTGTATTGTCTAAAAGAAAAATGGAAGTTATTTTTAGTGAATTACACAGCAGTGAAGAAGAAACCTATTAGAAGTTACAAAATTTTAAATAGTCGCTATGAGGAATAGCTGAGATTTTTCAGAAAGATACTTATAAAAAGAATGATATTATCAGACTCTGATTTGGATACTGATATATGCAGTGATAATAAATGTGGTGTCGATATTACTAACCATATTTTACAAGAATTTATTTAGGAAGAAATTAAAATTGATGCCAAAGATAGCATGAATGAATTTATGTGTCAACAACAATCATTTTCATTTCTTTCTTTCACCATTCAACAGCTAGTTTTATTCAAATACCCACTTTACCTCATAAATACTCAAATATTAAAGTCGCCCGAATTAGAATGATGAAGCTTGATCAGAATTTTTGCCATTTAATGCGTTAAAAAAGTATATTTCCTTGTAAATTGTATCAATGTTGAGCTGTAATATAAATATAAAACTGAAATTTAGATTTCAATGTGGGCTGTATGTTACATCATTAACTACACCTATGCATCACAGCCCTCTAGTGACATTTTTTGTATATACCTGAGAGAATAAATGTGTATGTTCATTAGCAGAAGAGTCCAAATGCCATGTGGGATATGACTGTGCAAAGGTTGGCTTACATTTCAGTACTTGCAGCTATTACTGATGCAACATGGATGCATGCTGAAATTTGCATGAATAATGTAATATAAGCTAATATTCACGATCTTTATCAATGAATACACTGTCATATGCAACCTGCTATAGCAATTAAAAATGCGTACAGAAAGTATTGAGTTTAGCCCATTCATTGAATGCACGTATTTGGCACTTGATTCTTCTTTACCTTACATCATTTGTCATATGAATATTATTTATCTTACACTATTTATCATTGGCCTCATAAATATATTTGATAACTCATAACCTTGTTAGTGTTACAATTTCACTCAATAGCAACATATAAAGGCATAACATTTTGAATAAATCAACAGTGTGTTGCACAAAACTAGTTAAGGAATTTATTGCTTAGATAAGAAACTGAAAGATACTGAAAAAAAAAACATACCTTTCAAGAAAGTAAACCATGTAGTTTTAGGCAAAAATTTATCCCAACCACCTTTCTTCAAATATCCATCATATATAGAATATGATGTTTCATTTGGTAGCAAAACATTAGGTGGGAATGTATCATGATTTCCAATAGAAGGAAACACAGGAACATCAGGAAAAGCAGAAATCAATAATTCAGTTACATTATTAATAGCTTCAAACACAACATTCCAGTCAGGATCAAATTTCAAAGTGTGGGGAAGATTGTCCCTGAAAATAAATAGAGAAACAAAATATAATAATTATTCAAATTAATATTTATAATAACATATTACTTAAAAACTTTAAAGACAGTTCCAACTTTGAAATAAAAAAACATGGCACCATTAGAGCATTATACCTTATTATATTTACTGTTACAGATCACTTATCCATGAATGGTTGAAACTGAAGGAAAACTGTTAAAATAATAATTACAGATTTATGATGCATATTACAGATGCATGTTAGCTATGTTAACATCAAGTAAGAAAAATATTTTTTAAATTTTTATCGAAGACCGAGTTCAAGGTGAACACTGTTCATTTAATTCACTGGCAGTTTTCAATAATTAGCATTACACAAAGTACAGTCACTAGACGGATATGATACCAGTAAATTAAGATTCTACATACGCAAAATTACGTCAATATCTACATATAAATATTCAAAATAATAAATAAATATATATGCTACATGCAGTCTATTATTTGCACTACCTTTCATTTTTGTAATTCATTCATCATATTTATTACTCAAAAATACCAACATGCTTAATTCATTCATCATATTTATTACTCAAAAATACCAACATGCTTACCTGAAAGTAATATACAATGCACATACCAGCACCTTTTAATAGACAGAACACTGGATAATACAACAGTACCCTGCCACTAACTAATGAATACAGGGAAAATGTTCCCGAGATCAAAATGTTAACAAAATGAAAGCCAAAATTTTTTGCACATACCGCACACATTTACCAAGCTGAAACACAAAACAAATTTGAGAACTGCAAACAACATGTTTTTTACCAATGGAAATATGTGGCAAGCACCTGCTTATATACAAGCACAGGTGTTTATGCATTAAATATGTGGCAAGCACTTGCTTATATAAAAGCACACATGCTTATGCATTATTCTGTTGACAATGAAAGTTAGATGCATCGAACCATGAAAGCTAGCAGAGATCCTCCCAAAGTTGTTTCACTCATTCCTGTGGAATTCTGGCCACACTTCCATCTGCACTTCTTACAATAAAATATTTGGCAGTCTCTCTGTATTAGCCACTGAACAGACACTATAGTAAAACAAACGACTTGCTTTATTTTTGGTCTTTGTAGGAAAACTTTCATCAATTTCTACTACTTTGTTGAGCCCTCCAACTTTAGAAAATCTGTTTGGAATGCTATGAGCATAACCTCCTCGAATGTAATTTTTCCAATCTATTAATCTGATGCCCGCCTTATCCAGCTGTTCTTTTTCCCGTTCAACAGATCTTAATTTTCTCGATCAGCTATAAATTTGTAGGGTTTATATTTATTTTAACTAACATTTATTTTATGTTTAAACTATCTTTCCTGTCAAGCCTTACTTTCCCCTGGAATTGCCAATGCCAGAGTATGTAAATTTTAGTAGAACGCGCAAGGATTCAAATTGTCAGCGGAAGCATTCTGAGTTAAATAGAAGGGAACCGACTTCGAAGGTGTGCTTTCTTGCTTCACGAGCGTGGAGGTGGCTAGTTAGAAATTGAAGAACCACACGTTTTGGCCTGTGTGCTTGCCTTGGCAGTTTGTTATTCGTTCAACGTAATATTCAGAAGTTTTCTGAATTATCAGCGGTATCTTAGAACGCAGTGAGGTTAGTTACGTTTAGAGAGCCTCGTAGTTAGTCACTTGTTACTATTCTTTTCTTAGTTTCTTATTTTTATTTTACCGCCGGGTCGGCGTAGTTTGTGAGCGTCAAGAGCACTCATTTGTAATTTCTAAAATTGAATAAAAAGGGATTTAAACCCTTCTCAAGACTTTGGTCTACTTTCCAGTACTTAGCAGTCACCACTATTGTTGCATGCAGGTTGGAAGCGCGCAACATTACAAATTAACTGCAGTTCAGTCACAAATGTGATTCTATAATCCTCAAGGCATGTTTCCTCTCAGAAGGTTGTTTGTTCTCGTCATAATTTTTTATATCACATTGGCACTGCATTTATCCATTTTCAAATAAAGTACCATATCACGTCTATTAATATATTTATTTGGTGGTACAATGCCATAACATTGAAAATATTCCACTGCTTGCTGTTCAGTAGAAGGCAGGTTCCAAACTTTAATGATATTTTTATAATGCAAAAAAAAATATAGCAATAACAGTTTATATCCTTGTTCATAAATACAAAAGGTAGCTTATCAATCAAATGAAAGCACAGGTGTTATGACTGCATTGCAGCATCACATGTATCCATAACTGGTGCTCAATCGTGCTATTTGGCAAGTTTCATGGTCAGTCAGATAATATGTAAGTATATTAACATATAAAAGCAATTAATAAAACAATCAATAACAATAAAAATATCTTAAACAGCCCTTAAGTAATATTTCAAACTTAAAAGTTAAGCTAGTGTTGCTCGTAAAACAAAAATGCCACAGGGAAATAACAATTATTGCATGACAGATCTTGGCACTGAGCATGACTTTGTAGACAAAAACTTGAAAACTTATAAAACACCCATATTCTAAGTAAAATCTGTTGTGCATGACATCATACATTTCTATTGTCTTATTTATGATGAAAGAAAAAGAATTCTGTTTAGGCAAGTTTAGACACTTATTTTGTTAAAACACTCACTTCAGAAATCATAGTTGCAGGCCCATCCAATATGCTAACTCCTTCCACTTCTCCTGTAGCCTTCTCAATCATATATGTGCTTCACACTTGCAAAACAAGTCTTCAGAGGTTGACTCAGACATTTACTCACCTCCTCCTGTATAAAGATCTACCAGCCTCATACTCACCCCATCTACACATGCCCTCAAACAAAATAATTCCAAGGTATGCACTGTATAGCAAAATTATTTATTTACTTATAATTTTTCTTCATAAAGTACTGCATTTAAAATGCATTATTTATTTGCTTTAAAATTTGTAATTGCTTATTTGATAGTATTTATACTTTTATCTCCTGAGCATCATTAAATGATATGCATAGAAGCCTTGTAACATTTTACAAACATAATCAATGTACAAAGGGTTGTTTGGAATATAACTCATTTATATGATTAAGACTATATCAAAAGATCAGTTAGAAGACTATATTAGTTAGAAGTCCTCAGCAATATATCAGAGTATAGCGAATTTCAAAATGCTTTTGGTTGTGGCTTACTGCAGTTGTTAGGATTTTGTCCTGACATGCCAAAAGCTGAGTGTTCAAGGGTCTGCACTGTATTTTTATTTCTCCCTCTTGTGCCTTTTGTTTTCCCATGAGTTGCTGTGTGTTTCATTAGTTTAATCTCAAGAAAGGTTTCGTCTATCTAGTTCAGGAAAAATGTTTTTCCTGTATAAAAATGTTTGGATACAGATATACACTGAGAAGCCAAACTATTAGATATCCCAAATAATGTGTTGGTTCACCTTTAATCATACCTTAACAGCATGACCACACATAGCACATTATATCAGCCCACACAATTACTCCTCAGCCATAGCAATTCATTTCTTAAACATTCTGGCGATGGTAACCAGTTCTGTCTCTCCATACTCTTGCCTACCAGCAGTTGAGTAGTAAAGTTGCTAAACACTGTTACTTCGGTCTGGAGAATAAATCTTGGCCAACAGGCTCGCTGCGTGAGCATTTTGTAATCCCTGTGTGTTACATGTATCAGTCAGGTTTCCTTAAAAAGCCCTCCAAAAAGGGATCTTTCTTCTTAGGCAGATCGCCTTTGAGTGCTTTGCAATAATCAAATAAAACAAAACAAAAACAAAATTTCCACACTCTGTCTGCATATACCTCTCAGTGCTGCAATAGAAATTGAACCTTTATGCATGTTATGAAGCCTTCTAAATTCCCTAAGAGTGTAGCAGCATGGACTCTCTAGTGTAAAGCAGCTTTACGAGAAAAATATTCTCAAAGTAGGACACAAATGTATAAATAGTCAATCAAAAAAACTGTTGACTCAATGTTTGCCCACATCTTTTGAAAAGGAATGAGAAGTGCTGCTGTCTCGTATGCACTAAGAAATTTGCATAATCTACCCAGATTCAGTGAATATCCCAGTGCGTGTATCACAACAGTGCCAAAATCTCTCCTATCAGCAACCTCTCATATTACTTTTTTTAATTCATGCCTCCCACAATCTTTATACGAAATTTGGTTTCATTTCGATCATTAGATTTAGCTGCAGATGCCTTCAAATAGGAAGTTCAAACTACTCGTAAATTTTGGGCTGGAGTTTTTTTGGGGGGGAGGGGGTGTTGATTGATTAATAATTGGGGTATTGCCCCGATGGGAGACATCAGTTATATCATCATCTTCTAGCATTTCTTCAGATAATCTATTAATGAGGAAATTTCATTTTTTACTTGTGATATCTGAAAATTTTAAATGCTTAGCTATCATCAAAATGAAATTTTGTTGCTCATTATACAACTAACCATGTATTTTTTAAAACATCTACATCTTCTCATGACCTTTCAATATGACATGCAACAGATTTTATAATAAAAAAATAGCTCTAGAATTATTGGATGGTCTTAGATCTGCATCAGTTTTGGAAAAGCTACTTTATATCTGCATTTCAGTGTGGGCAAAATTCCGATATCCATTGGCCAAATGACGCATGCACACTTTCGAGGAATAAGTAAAATGGAAACATCCATTTTCTAAAACTTTAATATTGATAAAATAAATAATAATAAAACTGAAAAAAATAATACTGTGTCCATTCAAAAAAATTAAGAAATAGCACAATTAACAATGCTAGTTGAGCTTCCTTCTTTTCTGCTATACTATCATCCAAACAAACATGGTACTTTGGGGTTCAGTTATTGCATACAGAGCTAAAGACATTACAAAAAACAAAAACAAACAAAAAAAAAATTGCAGCAACCCTCCCAAACACAGCCATTTAAGGGCTGAAAATAAAAATGTAGTTTCTTGCTTTTTCTTGAGTGTCATATTCTCTATTCTTAAAAAAATAATAATAATAATAATAATAATAATAATAATAATAA